CGGGATCACCCGGATCTCTGGGGGTAGTTCGTTCCAGAGGGTGGGAGCTCCCACCGAGAAGGCCCTCCCCCTGGGAGTCGCCAGCCGGCACTGTCTGGCTGACGGCACCCTGAGGAGACCCACTCTGTGGGAGCGTACCGGCCGATGGGAGGTAATCTGAGGCAGATTTTGCCAGATGTCTAGTAATCATAGCCATGTGATGCACCATCGTGATTAGTAAACCATGCTTTATGATTTAACATGAGGTGTGAACTTTGATTTGTTCGAGAATCTTCAGTAAAAATATGGTTATATGATTTAGTATAATTTATGAATTCAGTTAATATTGGACAGCTGACATAACAGCTTTCTTCTATTTTTCATATACTTCTCTGTAGCTTCTCATATGCATTTTGTGGTCTAGATTAATCACTAAAGTATTTGATGGTGAAGTGATAATTAGTCAACATTACGTTTATGCTGAAATATATCTTTCAAATTTGTTTTGGAGGGGTTTATTTTGTTTTTAGTTTTCCTCTAACAATTCAGTCATGTTTACTCTCATTTACTCTAAAATAACAGTTAGGTCACTATTAAGACCATTGGGATGTAAGCCTTGATAAGTATACCTAACTCATTGGAATATGAGATAAACATATTAGATTATTTACTGTTAAGTCTCATTCCAAGAATTTTGGAGACATCCACACACTGTTTTCATTTTGTGATCTGTATTTTTCAACTTTTTCCCTTATCTTTTCAACTTACATTTCCATGTATGTAAAAAAAATCCAAATTAATTAAGAAAGATAATAAGATCGAATACATTGTTCCTAACTAATAGCACTAGGAATCCTGTCTCATGGTATGCATTCTACACCTACACTATTTAGTGTTGTAGGTTCTTACTGCTATTCTAAGATCATGAGTGGGCTAAAATACCGGAACCATGTTTGCAGTATGGTCTACCTCTATAATGGATACCATTTCCTTATTATTACTAAATCCAGACTCTACCCCCATGTTATAATATCACATTCCCTAGATTTGTAGACGCCAAGTGTACTTCCTCATATTGCTTAATGTCATTCAGCCAACCACATTCTTCAGTTCTTATCCTTGTTGCTTGAATCATTTGTTATATTACTATTTCTCCTTAGACCCCATTTTTTTCCAGAATGGTACTTACTTGTCAGAGGTTCACTTATGAGAACCAAAGATTCAGTATTTCAGTACTGCATACTGTATTCTCCTATAGAACCTACAGCTATAATTGTGCCCTTTATTTCAGGTCGCATTTGCTGCAGACTGCCTGTTGCACTGATTCCAATTATATTAGTTTTCTACTTTTCTACTTAGAAAAGTCCCACATTCTGTTTTTCCCCAACTATATTTTGCATATTATAAAATCTTTTTATACAATCTATATCTGTTGCTCTGGCTATTCACAAAGCTTCTCTTTTTTATTGTTCTATTGAGTCACTTCTGATTCTCAAAGACTTGATAGACCAAATTTCACCAAGAATGTCTGTCAGTGACTGCTGTTTTGAGCTTGTAAGTTTGTACTTGTATCATTGGTTATAGTATTTAGCCACCTTGCCCTCTGTTAGCCTATTTTCTCTAATGCCTTCAATTTTTCTAAGCATCAGAATCTTCTCATGATTCTTGCTAGATTTAGCAAAAAATTCAAGATGGCATACAAGATATAATGTGAAAGTAGTGGATTTTGGCTTTCTTCAGTGGTAGAGCTTTCCCACCTCAGTATTTGGAATTTGAGGGTTTTATTAAAGCTTATCTGCCTCTCCCTTGCCCATAATGCAAGGGAAGGATTATAATATTATATGACAGTCTGTTCATGGAGAGTTTCCCCATGAGTAAGAAAATATTAAAAAGTAGTCTCACTCTTGGTGCTATTGAGAGGACACATTTAATGGTAGAGGATAGCTTCAACTTTACAGTAGAAAATTTAAAAAGCAACTAAGTTATCAAATAGGTTTAAAATAACTTCTCAGTTCAAGCACATCAAATAAAGTCCCAAGAGAAGCATCAATAATTGTAATGTAAATAGTCTTAAAATCTGATTATCATGTTTTATTTTGGAATTACCCAACAGGGTTTTGAGGCTTGTAAAATCTCTTGAATTGGAAATCAGATGATAAGGAAAGTTTAATTTATCTAGCTATAAAAGACATACCTGTATGAAATAGAATGTGGCCATTGGGTGAATGTTATAAAATTATAACCATTTAGGAAATAACTATCAGTAAAGAATGCCTAAGCCATTGAATCAGTAGACATTTTTAATTTCCAAAGTGATTCTTAAATTCACTTTTTTTTCTTGATTTAGCATGTACTCATTCTCTAGATATTTGAGATCAATCAGTCCAGGATCTTGTTGAATGACCCTTGAAACATTTTCACTGCAGTTTGTCTGGTAATACATGATTTACACGAATGAAGGCGAATATACGTATATATGTTGCAGGATCCAATCTGGGTTGGTCACCGGGACCTCAGAGGTTTTGTCTTCTGAGCTTTCGGACTCCTGCTGGGGCCCATCTTCATCAGTCAACAGGAGTGCTGATTTACTACCAGCCTATGAAGTACTTAGAAGGCTAAGGCTGAGCAGTACAAGCAAATGACAGCTAATGACTTAAAAGTCAGCCATCAACACACTCCAATCAACATCTGAAAAACCGCTTACAACAGGCACTATAAATACCATACACATAACAGCACCCATTCTGTTAGGGAGAAGTTCCCTGAAGATGGGCTTCAGCATGAGTTCAAAAGCTTGGAAGATAAAAACCTCTTGTTCCTGGTGACCAATTCAGATTGGATCCTGCAATATGACGTACAATACAAAAAAAAGATATGGCTTATGTTCTTGCATTGTTGTTGTTGTTAATTGCGAAGTCGTGTCCGACCCATTGCGACCCCATGGACAACATTCCTCCAGACCTTCCTGTCCTGTTCTTGCATTATGTGCCATGAATTTGATGTTGGCTTTTA